AAATAAAGATTAAACATTTTAAATGTCCAATAGAATCTTTTATAACGGATAACTAAATTACTCAAATAACCACTCAAATAGTTACCTAACAAAAATTCTAAACCTAGCTAAAATAAAGGCCTCAAAAATAACTAATTTACAATAAACAAACCAAACTGTTATCAAAAAACCCACAATTTTTAGACATTACCTAGGATAGAATTCCTATATTATTTCACTATAGATAGAACATGAAAAGTCACCCACTGAAATGGGTGACAGAATTGAGAGAATAGAGGTTACAGACCAGTCTCTTCATTGGCTGTGAGTTTTGTCATTGGACGTGCTGATTATGTCACTCATCATTCATTTATGAACACAGGCACACCCACAGTATTATATAGAGATGTGTCAATAAATTTTGTGTGTCTACATACATATGTATATTTTGAACTATTAGTTATCAAGTTTGCATACCATAAACAAATATATATTACTTTTCAAAAAGCAGATTTTTATCAAAGGAAATTTTAGAAGAAATGCCAATATATAAAATAGAAATGAAACAAAACAAAAATACCAGGCTGTTCTGGCTAAGGCAGGGTAGAATTAACAGAGAACCTTCTCTTCCTGCAATGACCATAAGACACCTATTAAGAGTATTCCAGGGCATGGGCTGAAACTACTGTTCCCAGTAAATCCTATTTATTTTGCAAAGATCAATCACAAGACTATTTTTTCAAAGACAAGACTACAGGCTCATAGGAAAATTTTATAATAATGCAACTGAGTATAAAGTTAAAAAGTAACATTTCCTCTCCTTTAAAAATAATAACAAAATAAAACCACCATGCTATATAAAACCACATTATTTTTTTAACCTCATAATCTTAATTTGATACATGGAAAAGTTATTAGGTCTCTTTAAAGTGTCTAATTTTAAAGATCTAATTTTGTCCATATAAATCTTGTCCAAAATATATGAGGAGAATGGTTGGTAAGAGGTACAGGTATTATTTTTCTATATCAGACATGTATCTTCTACCTGACTGGCCAATTAAAGCATTCTGCCGAAGAATCTTAACTTTCTCACAGAATATTCAGATAGAGAAACATGCAAATAGAACTGATCTGTTATAACATATCTAAAGTAAGCTTTGATGGAGTGCTTTGTGTTTGTTTTAGACAAACCATTCATCTCTTTGTTCCAAATATCTCCCCATTTATGGAAGGACTACTTTAATCCATGCAGTTGATATTAGCAAAATACAAATAACATGTTCTCTTCTGTAAAGATCATGATTAAATGTCTAAATCCAATAAATAGACTCTTTAATAATTTGAAATCCTATCAAACATTTTATAGTGGTAAAAGTCTCAATCTTTCTTCTTTTCTAATACATCCTTGGGCTCTTGCACTGTAGGCACTAGAGATCCTCCACTGCTGGGCCCCTGTTCTTTGCTCTCGTCTATCTGTTCTTGGCTTTCAATTTCACTTCTAGACACTTCATACCGTTCTTCTATATAACCACCATCTGTGTCAGCTGTGTAGATTCCATAGCACATGATACTGATGACACCCAGTGGCAGGCCAAAGAGAAAGCAGCCCATAAGTGGTGAGCTCTTGAAAATAGACTGTGGAAAGATAATTAAAACTCAGTTCCCTTCGGATTTACATAAAATGAATTTATAACCACTACAGATTTCCTTCACTTGTAGCTATTCGACTTGCTTTGAGTTCCAATGAAAGAGAGTCCGTATCTAAGCAGTAGTAACTACTGCTTAGTAGTAGTAACTACTATGTTAAAAACATCGTAAGAGATACAAATTCTATACACATGCACACAGGTGAGTCTGTTAGAACCAGCTACAGGAAGCAGAAAAAGGCACCAAATATACTACAACCATTCCTAAAGACACCTATTTTTCCCACATTAACCACGAAGGTCTCTTTAAGATGGTTACTATGTGCCCAGTAGCCTTAGAATTGTTTCCTAAACTATAGGAATCTGCTCATGAAGAAGGCTGGGTTATTTTTATGAAGAAAGTGTTTATATAAACTCTCTTCACATGACATTTTAAACATTTTTCACTCATCTGGTTAGTAGTAAAGCCTCATTAATTTACTAATTCCCCTTAATCTACACAGTGTCTTCTCAGCTCCCAGAAAATTAAAAGTAATTTTACTGAATAGGTTTTTCAACTATAATATTCTAGGGGCTGTGTTTATAACCCTTGAGAACAATTCAGACAACTTCAGAGGAGAGAAAGATCATTTTGGATTGAGTTAATGGAAGAAGGCGTCACAGAATAAAGGTGAGTTTTGAGGGGGAAATATAAGGATGAGTAAGAATGAGACAGGACAAGATACAGTGTGAACGCTAGCAATTAGCTCCAAGAAAGCTTATACAATATTCAAAAACCAATGAGGAAAATATTTTAGATAGACTAGGAAAATGATCAAAATCAATTATTTCAGTAATATTAACTGTGCGGCAGTATATAGAATGTACTGGATAACGGACAAGAGGAAGTGTGGAAAGAAGGTGAAAGTGACAGTAGCAGCTAGATATACTGTGATAAGAGCCCAACCTATGCTGGGCGTAAGAGGAAAATAAAGAAATATTATTGATAAGTTGAAGGACACCATGCATGGAATGAGACAAAGATTCTTAGAACTTACTTCTAATGAACACAGGTGGTTACATTTTCATGATTGCTTTTGCCACAATGAATGAAAATGCCCACGGAGTAGCTCAAGGCAGACAACAGGAACTGAGTTTAGGGCTCAAACAAATTTAGGAATGCTTTTACTGTCTGGATAACTGAGAGTTAAAGCTGGGAGAATTAGAATGATTTTTCAGAGTTCCAAGCAAGAAGGTTCAGTTCCAAGCACTGAAAAGAGCAGAAAGAGGAAAGAGACTCTGAAAAACACTGACCAACTGGAGTGATGGGTCATGCATGAGAGGAACAGTGATTACCACAGCAGCATGGGAAAGGAGACTATCAAGAAAGGGATGCTTTGAAGACAACCGGGGGAAATACCACAAAAGATCTAATAACTAGTAGGCAACTATGAGACTGGGCATTAATTTTCTAGAGTAAAAAGAAGAGCAAATTAGAATGGTAGAGATAATCAGGTGAGAGGTGATAGTGAAGGCAATCAAGGAAACATTTAGAAACTGTAATTATAAAA